GGGTATTTGGCTGCCAGGAGAGGGGGGGGGTCGTAATGAGTGCGGTAGCCAGTAACGAGCAGCGCAAAGGTGTCAGTGTGCTGAGTCTGTACTGTGTAGCGGAACTTGCTTTGTAGAGAACTCGGATATGTAAAAAAATAGTACAAAACTTTCAACCATCAAACTAATCCGAAATAACTGGAATTATCAATAAGTCGACAACATCTCGTAAGTCCGTTGATGACAAAACAGTACAACTCATACTCCGGTTCGTTGCGGATAATGGGGCGTGTGCGCGATCACGCTTGGCGCTGAGCAACTAGTTTTTTCCGGACACACGACAGGAATGCCATATTCCCGTGTATCAGACGTTCTCCAGCACTTGGTCTCCTTTATCGGAGTCAGCAATTGGCGGAGCACAGATCTGGCGGCGTCGACACGGACACGCTACATCATCCGCAAGGGAAAACACTGTAAACAAGTGCACAGGTTCGCCATGGACCTCCCTGAATCCTATAGACACATTTGCTCGCGTGGACAGACATTACGCACAAGTTGCACCATCCCATCACTTCTGCGCGGACCTCAGTGCGCGGCGCATCCAAAGTCAGCGTGATCGGCGCTAAACGAACCATATTCTGCTCCTGCTCCACCACAGGATACGTTCTACATGCGTTCCTGGTTATTCGAACACGCTCACTTGAAACGGTACACAGGAAACGGGTTTTTCGCGAGCTCGTAGTACTGCGCGAGAAATCCCCATCGCCAGATCTCATGAATCCCGAGGACTTCAGAAACAGTTCAATAGGTTTTTAGAAAGAGCAAGTCTTCAACCTTTCGAATCCGTTCTCAGATTTGTGAAATGTTGAGTTACAAAAAAATATATTGATTCAAACCTGTTCCTGAAATAAAATCCCTATCGAATCCCCAAGGCAATTTCTCTGTGATTTTTGCGACCTTCATGAACATTTTAGTACTTTTAGGAAGATCAAACCTTCCTCTACACGAATACGCTTTCCTCTTCCCCATAGGTCCGCTTTTGAGGAAGTTATGGTCCTTCAAAGACACCCTACTTGCTGAAAATTTGTTTCCCACGGCTGGTCCTGCCCAGAATTCCCTTCCCCCGGTCCTTTAAAGGCAGTTGGCACGATAATTTTGAGTAGAGCTTGAAAAGCAGCCATGGTGACTAGTAGTTCAAAGACGGTGAAGAAATGAGGCGAAACGGTGGGGAAACAGGGAAACGGGGGCTCTATTTCCACGCTCTACTGCGGGAGTGGACGAGTGAACGGTGGGGGCGGGCGCTTCGTGGACGAGTGTCCCGCTGAACCGCTCACTGCTGGCTTTTTGCCAGCCGACGCCAGCTGAGCGGTTCGATCGATAAACCCTATTTCATTGCTTTATTACTCTGCTCCTTTTTTTACCTACTACTTATTCTTTACTCTACTACTTTACTTACTACTAACTCTTTACTCAACTACTTGTATTACCCTACTTTACTATATGGAGAAGGATTTATCCTACGTACACCACATTACACGTAAATCCACCACGAAAACGGTCCAAAGCGGCACGTCCTCGTGGAGGGATCCTATACGTCCAAAAGTAGGCGGGCGGGCAAGGAAGGCGTTTGGGACGTAAAGTTGTTGCTCAATAGGGCGTTATAGAGGTACCCTCCTTGGAAAAGGCTTCACGCAGCGCCTGTCCGAGGTCACGGAATTCTGTTAAGCCAGTTGTACAAATCCTACACCTGTATAGCGATTTATCGTGCCAACTGCCTTTAATGTAGTCGAACCAGCTGATTTCGGCCGCGCTGTTATGCATTTCTTTTTGGTTTTCTTTTCTGTTATGACACTTTTTGTATTTTTTTTTCAATCACAGTCTCCTTTATTCGCCTAGAGTTTCAATCCTGCTTTATTTTGGATGCTTTTCGTCGCAGGTTCGAGCTCATAATATTGAAACATTCTCACTCAGCATAAGCACCAAACGGCAAAAAAAAGGGGGGGGGGTCGTACCGAACCCCCAAAAAGGGGGGGGTCGTACAGGCTCGACCAAAATCCCCATCGAATGCTGTGCCCTGGCTCCGCGCGCGCACGGGGGTGGAGGAAGCTCCGGGGTGCAGGCGGGCACCCGGGCAGCGACCCGCCCGACCCTGGCCGGGCACCCACACCCGCGGCCAGGTTACAGTACTCCACGCCTAAAATAAATGGTCCGCATAGGCCCGGGCCCCGTTGTGTGCATCCACGGACGACACATTAATCCCACGCGCAATTTTCGGGGGTACTGTACGTAGCCTGACAACCTGAACTTATAATCTTGTGATTGCTGCCTATGGCCTACTGATCACTAAAAATTGTTGCGATGCTTCCGGAAACTTCCGAACTGCAGCGATAAACGGCAGTCGTTTCACTAAAACAAATATAAAAATAAACCTGTTTGGAAACCTTCTCACCTTTCTCGTAAGACATCTTTCCAGTGTGAGACATCTTTCTTTGAGACCTAGAGACCCCTGTCAGTAAGACCACTCCTTTCGAACTGCGCCAAGGCAGTTAATTGTTTTTTAGTGTACGCTGATATTACAGGGATGCGATCCAGCGGGTTGCTTCGTCGAATTGGTGATCCAGCTTGCAATCATTATGTGTGGGAAGCAGTTCTTTTCAGGCCTTGTAGAATTCGCCTACCCGTGAGTCTTGATTATTTTTTCGAAAAATGTTAAAATTTTGTTGAGATGAGCGTATTTACTTTAGCAACTGTATGAGTTTGCTGAGACGATGGCAGCTAATGGTTCCTATTGTAGAAAGCAAAGAGGAGCGTAGAAAACGCATCAGCGAGGAAACGAATAGGGTTCGGTTTTAAGTTAAGATTCCTTGCAATTTTATGGCCGAATAAAGCATTTTCATGAAGCACTTGGCCAGCATGTGAACCGCCTGCTAACTGTGGTCCAAATCCCCCCCCCCCCTCCCCATCTGTAGGCTGCTCGGAAATCGAATGATGAATTCTTGTTTACGATGGCTCTTCTTTTGGCGCAGGCCCCGCCCCTTGTTGAAGGTGCCTAGCATAAGTAGCGTGTAGCCTTTACATCTTGTCCCGTGCTTCACCTAATCCAACCTTGAACCGTCCTTTATCTATGAGTTACTCTTCAAGTAGAACTGATTTTCCGAATGGGCAAACAAAGAAATAAGCAGACGTAGCCGTTGTTTACAGTAGGAATAGTAGAGATAATTCTCGCTTACCATGAAGCTGCTGTCAGTGTAAGCACTGCGGGGGCTTACCATCACCTTGTCACGTGTCTTTAAGGAATTGTTCACAGTATGCGACCCTGACGAAACGGCGGCGGCAAAATAGTCATCGATCGGAGAATCGCCAACCGCAAGTTTTGCCGGACCGTCGCGGTTCGGCGGTTGGGCGAAAACAATAGATGTTTATCGATTTCGCTGGCGAAAAACGCCACGGCGATCGAGCTAGCGTTTCGTCGAAGGCGAAAAACGTCGCGGTTTGGCGAAACGCCCGTCGATTCGTATCAAAACTCCTTTCTCCAACCGCCAGTAGATATATCGAAATATAATATCATATCGAATCTTTTCGCCGAACCGCCGCGTTCCAGAGAAACGCTGGACCGCAGACTGTGAACAATGCCTAAGGCAGCGTCAGCGGCGATCGCGGCGACCTTGGCGACCTCGGCGATCGCCGCGATCGTCGGTACGTGGCAGAGCGCGCCCCAACGCAATTATAGACTGCTCGCTTGATAAATAAGGAAATCCAACTTGTGAGACCTTCTTTTCTCTTAATAATGGCTACTAACTGATAACTTACGACTTTCTATACATAAGCGGATCTGGAATATGAGGTAAGGAGGTTTCACTTCTTTTTGGGTCGGGATAAGGCCAACTCCATTTCCTGGGTGAGCTTCTTTTGTTTCTTTTGTTTTTGTTGTTTCATTTTATGCAAGCGCCTTAGAAGTCTTTATCGTCTGAATTGTTCCAACTTCTAAAAATTTACAGTTTACAAGTCGAGTCAAACAAAGAAAAAAAAAGAAGTAGAAAGAAGCTCACCTAGGAACCAAACACTAGTGTTATAATATGCTTGTGCCTTAGAGGTGATAGGTGGAACCAATTTATTCATATGGTAACGTTTCGACCTGAATGTCATCAGAGGCCTGAATGTGTTTCAAGGATTAGGTTGCGCTCTACCCCACCAAGCGCCTCGTCAACTCTAGCGGTTCCGACATCGTGTCAGGAACCCTCGAGAAACCCCCGTCATCGCGAAAGTCAACTCACCGACGGTTCCACCTTATAAGACGAGAGGTACCGCGTCAAAATAAGCTACCCTTATGCATTCCCTTATTTTCTGAAAAGGTGAGCTCTGCAATCCAACGGAGTATAGTAAGAGCACAGTTGCAGGACGATGTGCAGTTGGTGAATATACCTAACGAGAACATCAAACGGCAACTGGTTCGCAACAGACTCTACGACAAGCAGTGCTTATCTGAAAATTGCGTTACATGCCCGCACGGGAAGCTTGGCGACTGCATGCAAGTGGGAGTCATATATGAAATCCAGTGCCAGGCATGTAACTCTACTTATATTGGGGAAACAGGAAGGGTCTTGGCAGTTCGCATCAAAGAACATCTTGCTAGTATGAGACGAGGCCCCTAACTAACAACAGCTCGAAAGACACAAAGTTTTGAGCAACATAATGGCGTGGAGTTCGAATAAAGTGCGTATTGCTGGCACATGAGACGGAAATTTCTGCAAGAAAAGCATTAGAAGCGTTCTGGATTTTCACCAGAAAACCCAGAATGAACAGCCGAGATGAGTGTCCTGCAATAACAAATGACCTTCTGCCGTTTATACCACACTGCGAGCTGTAGAATGACAGAGCGCTACGTGCGTCTCCACAATATTTTCATTATACGGAGACAGCGCAGTATTCCTCATTTACAACTAATATCGCTCTTGTGTGGCAGCGGACACTGCCGCTTATAAGGTGGAG